AATTACTTGGTGAACCTGACTGAGAAATTACTGTTTTTTAAACAACCAAACAAAAAACTATTTAATATGACACATAAAGCCCGTGATGAGCTGGCCTTTTTGAACTTCTTCACTGTAAAAGACAAGGCCCCTGAACATCTAACTCCTGCCACCCTGGACCCCCTTGCCATCTGAACCGAGAACCAGACTGAACCAGAAAAGTTTTGGGTTGGAGGTCAGGCTCAGATCACGGCTTCTCCGCACACTTGTGACCTGCTTTCCACTGCCACCCTCTAGTGCCTCCCACTTCCCCTGTAGGGCCCAGCCTGCTCCCAGGCTTCCAGGCTGATGTTTTGGATCCAACAACCAATTCACAAGCCAGCACGGAATGAGCACTGAAGAGAATGACTAAATACAACATCTGTGGCAGGGTGCATGAAGTATTAGTAGGTGAGGTTCAGGCCGACTGTGGGAGCAGAGCAGAGCTGGCTGGTGGAGGAGGCATTTGGCTGGTCTGTGAAGGAGAAAGGATTTCAGCCCGCATGGAGCAGGGGAAAGGGCACCCTGGATGAGGGAAAAGCATGAGTGAACACAGGGCTGTGTGTGACAGGGCAGAACCATAGGGAGAATGGTGGGATGTATGGGGGCTGATGGAGAATGGATGGCATGGACGAGTGTGGAAAAGTCAACAGGCAGGTCACAAAGGGCCTTGACTCCACGCTGAAGGCTTACGTTTCACCCCTGTGAGTGATGGAGGGTGCTAGACACAGGCCTGTGGGCCCCGAGCTGTGGAACTGTCAGCTACCTGATCCCCTTCCTCACTAGGGTAGAGAGCATAGTACAGTAGGCAGCATGCAGCAGGCTTCTGGGGGAGCAGAGGGGAGAGCTCGGGCAGGTTCTGGCTCCAGAGGTCTGGAGCAGGGTGTGAGGGTACCTCCCTGAGTCCAGCTCCCCTTACTGACCCATTTCCTGAATGTCACTGCACCTCCCATCCCAACCAGGGAGAGGCTGGAAAGCAGCTCCTGGCAGCTCTCCCAGTCACCATGGAGAGTCACGCAGCTCCATCCATCTGTTTGGCCCAGCCCCACAGGGCCTCTGTGGTCAGGGCTTTGTGTCTGCACAGTGGCCCTCTTTGTCCTGGGCGGCTTCTCTCCAACTGCCTCCTACCCTCTCTCCTTTGCCTGTATTAAAAGAAGAACTAGCTGTGCTGAGAGACAGACCAGGGCTCTGATCTGGGCTTTTCTCCGCTGAATCACTGTGCAGTCCTGAAGAAGACTCTTTGCTTCTTTGAGTCCATAAGGGCACTATTATAAGGAATTGAGCTCAACAAGAATTGGTTAGCTATCCAGAGACCTAGCAACAGTGATGTCCATGAGGCGCCCTACTCAGCCCTCATGCTGCTTCCCAGAGCTTCCTACTTACTCCTCACCCTGCCCGATCAGGTGGCTACCATTCTCCCATTTGACAGATGGAAAAACCAAGGCTGGGGCACAGGAATGGCTTTCTGGGTGTATGGTCTATACAGTTATGGCCATGCTCTGAAGGTTTCTATATTTGATTTAATACTCTGCTGTCCCCATCTTAAAACTCTTGGTGATTTTATAATAAGAGGCCCACATTTGTATTTTGTCCTGGGTCCTCCAAATTGCACAGCTGCTCCTACTTTGAGGGATGTGGAGTGTAGTTTAGACTTTCTGCCCCCCAGGGCTGCCTCCCTTGGTAACTGCACCCTGGCATGCTAGGCTGCACTTGGCAACCGAGCCCCAGGCCCTGCCCTGGAAACCTGAGGAGCACAGCTCCTGACATAGCAGGAGGAAGGACAGTGCAGGCCCATGCAGCAATCCAGACATCGAGGAAGACAAAGCTGCTGGAGTCAACCCAGCCCGTGTAACCAGAGCCCCCAGTGTAGGTCCCCATGCTATGGCCAAGCCATCACTTGGGAATTCAGCAAGGCCTTCCTTCCCAGCAAGGTGCAGTTCCAGGGCCAGGGTATCCAGCACAAACTCACTGTGTGACTTTGGATTTTCACCTCCTTTTTGTGAGTATGTAACATGGGAATACTAATGCCTATCTCACAGGGTCCTGGTGAGATGCTTAATACGATTGCTAGCACAAAGAAAGTGATTACTGAATTCTCCCTCACTCACGCAGCACAGATACAGAAGCTGGCTACAAGACATGGACAGCACTGGGTCCTGGACATTTAACTGTGCACAGCAGACCCTGCCTGACCTCACAGTGATTCCCCATTACAGACCCTTTTAGAGGAGGGAAATAGACACTGACACACTGAGAGGAATAGCAGGCATGGCAGGGGTAGAACATCTGGAATTGGGAAAGGAATGATCAAGAAAGCAGAAGCTGAGAGCAGAGAAGCATAAAGCGAACACCTAGGGAAAGGGACAGCAAATGGTAGGCCGGAGGTAGGCGAGGGCTCACATGGCAACTGAGAGGCAGGAGGCTAGGCAGTGGGTGGGAGGCCTGGAGTGGCAGGCTGGAACGGTGGAGGGCTTCATCCCGAGGACGCTGGAGTCTCTGTGAAGCAGGGAATGGTAGTGAGGGTTAACAGAGACATCACCCAGCCAGGATGGAGCCTGAACTAGACAGGGCTCTAATCTCAGCACCAATTCTCTGAGCAGGTTTTCTCAGGAGAGATGAGAGAGAGAAGATAATAAAGCTTGCATGAGCCAAATGCCTCCACAGGGCTGAAAAGACAGGAAGCTTCCTAATGCAGGGCGGGGGGAGCTAAGGCCAGCTTTGCCCTTTCCCCCGACCTTCTGTGCTAATGGAACCCTCCCTATACCCCTATGGCTCCATTACCCACCTCTGAGGGGCCATTGCACTGCCTGAGCCTTCACCATTAGCCTGCCCTGGCTGCTGGATTCAGGGCAGGCCTCTTCAGCGCTACTCTACCCCTTTGGCAGGTGCTTGTGTGTGACTCACTGGTTCTCAACTTCCTGGCTGGATCAATGGTTCTAAATTCTTTTAGCCATAGAATCTTTTGTGTACTTTCAATAAATTTTAACCAGGAAATGTAGATAAGTAAAATCAAAAAAAGCAGAGGTGCTTAAATTGAAGCCTTGGGTGCTTTCTGGGGCATATGAAGAGAGGACTCTGTTGGGGGATGTGTTAGACTTATTAACCTCCAAACTCTCATCAGGGCAGTGCCTGGAGAAGTGCTGGGAAACCTGAATTCCCAGCCCTCAAACCTGGAACTCGGGGTGGATGATGGGCAAAACTCTGAAAAGCAAAAACAAAACTAACTGTACATAGGCCAGCAGGTAAGAATTATTATTACTCTATTTTGCAGAAGAGGAGCCTGGGGCGCCAATAAAAATCACCAGAGAGATAAGACAAAACTAGAATCTGAACCCAAGGCTGTAGGACTCAAGGGCAAGGCTCTTTCCTCTGCTTTCCAGGCCTAAGTCGTCTGATGTGGCAACTCAGATGCCATGTATCTCAGGGATGTAATTTCTTTGGCTCTACAGTAAGGAAGATGGACCATAGCAAGGGACGCAGAGTTTGGGACAGCTACTGTCTAGTGTGTTTGATGCAGGTTAAGAGCAGGCCTGGGTCCTCATATTGGAACACAAGGGATATTTTCCTTCCAGGGGAAACAGCAGTGACCATGGGAAGTTTGATAGCTTTAAGTGGTAGGAGCAGAGGAGGTCGACTGAGGCTCCAGGATCCAAGGGGACTTGCCCTCAGTAGGACCCTAAGGCCTGTGTCCCAAAATTTGAAGCCTTGAGAATACTTAAGTCCCTGGAAGATGCATGTACCAGCTGGACACCAGGAGCAGGAGGCTGGACAAGGGCTCTTTGTCTCCCTTGAACAGAGGTCTCAAGGGACTGCAGAGGCAGCTCAGTCACACAACACTGTGTGTCCACCCTACTCTTACACAAAGTCAGCTGATCTGGAGCCCAGCCAAACCCTGAGCAAGCTCCTTGGGCCATAAAGGAGGACAGTCTGCATTTGTCCAGCCCCTGGACCATCCTAAGAACCAGGATAAACAGTGGAAAGCGTATGAGTGTGACTGGCTTAATTTCAGATTTAAAAAAGACCCTGAGAAGGACTGGAACAGGGCCAAGGTCTCCCAGTCAGTGCTGAAATTGGGCCAGAACCTGCACTCTTGACTCCTAGATCAGAAATGGAGCAGGGGCACTCATTCATTCATCCAATCTGCACATTCTAGTATTGAGGGCCTCCTGGGACTTCTGGGACACAGTAGGGAGAAAACAGACCAGTCCAGTCCTCCTGAGCTCACAGAGTAGGAAAGAGACGGCAACAAGGTCTGTGACTTACAGAAGGCAAGTAGACCAGCATGGAAGGCAGAGAACGGAATACAAGAAGTTCAAGATGAGAGGTCAGGACAAACGCGAAGATCAGGGTCATGCTGGCGAGATGAAGGAAGGGAAGAGAGTAGAGGAGGCGCCCTTAGCCCCCTCAGGAGCTGGGGAGAGGTAGGAGCCTGAATGCCAGCCTGCATCGGCCTTCTCAGTTTTGTACTCTAATCTGGTCCCTCCAAGGCGAGACAGGCTGGGCAGGATTTAGGGCGGAGGTGGCTAGTTGGCACAAAGGTCTCACGGTGGACAGCGACAGGACAAACCTTGTAAACCTTGGGCTTCTCGCAAACCTGCTCCTGCTCCCGTGAGCCAGGCGCGAGTCTTCTGCCCGGCCAGGATGTGGGACCGTCGCCGCGCGCCCCTTCCTGCTCATCACCGCGTGCGGACAGGCTGACCCACGGCCCTGCGCCGGGCGCTATCCACAAGTGGGTGGCGGGGTGGCCGCTATCTGCGGCGGCGGTGGGGGGCGGTGTGGGGATCGGTCCAGAGTCCGCCCGCCCCCTCCTGGCCGGCCGAGGGGTGGGGCGCGCTGCGGGCGGGGCGGGGCGCGGGCCCCAGCGCTCGGGGGCACATGGAACCCCGCGCCGCGCCTGGACGCTGGCGCGAGCCCGGCCCCGCGGCGACAGCCTTGGGGAAGCCGAGCTCGGAACAGAGGTGAGGGGCGGGTGAGTGCAGAGAGGTCGGCGGGCGCGGCGGGGGAGACGGCTGGTCGGCTGGTCCGACTGGCTCGGGTGCAGACTCAGCTGTGGGCAGGCGAGAGCGGCGTGCCTCTGGCCGTCCCACTGGGGCGCGGATCCGAGCCGGGGTGCACCGCATGACGGACGGTGTAAGCACGTTGCGGACCCGTGTTCGACTTGGCCTCCCCTGGAGCGTAATCTCGGTGAGCGAGGTCGTATGTTGGCGATTCGGTGTGTTAGTGGATGAGTGCGCGCGCCTTGAGGCGTAAGAAGCCGAACTTGGGGAACTTGGCTGTGTGTATGCTGTGGTGTGGGCGCCCCTGCGGCGGCGTGAGGCCGCGGTCTGAGGTCTGGGAGCTCCAACAGACCTGCTGCCCTCTTACACCCCGCCGCCCCACTCGTAGTCACTCTAGGTGGCCCTCTTCCTGTCCTCCCGGGCAGTGGTAGGACTGGAAAGGAGCAGAAGAAGGACAGTTAAGACTTTAATCTATCGGAAGACTTTTAATCTGGCAGGTGATACTGAAGGAAGGGTCAGTCAGGAGAAAGGCAGAGTGTCCCCTAGGAGGCAGGCCCAAGTGCCAGGCCTTGCTGGGAACTAGCACTGCAAGTCTGGGATTTATGGGGCCAGGTGACTACTTTTCCTCTCAACATGGCATCTCCAGCTTGCCTGGGTCCACAGCCTTGTTGAGATCTAAGCTGGAATAATGAACTTTAGAGGGTCAGGCTGGGGCCCCAGGGAAATCTCGATTATCGGTGGGTGCGAGTGGGAAAGAGGAGATTCTTCGGGCAGACAGCCTGTGAAAGGAGGCCAGCACCTGCAAGTGAGAGGAAGACCTGGCACAGAATCGCTGTCACTCCTTCTCGCCTCCATGCCTTGGGCTGTCCTAAGGTACAGAATAGGAACTGAGATATGTGCAGGGGACACAGTGAGCAACCTTCAGAAATGGCTGCTGAGCTCGACATGCAGAATAAGGTTGTGGCCTTGCGCAGGATATACAGGGCTCTGAGGCTTCCAGATCCCCCAAGGACTTCCTAGGAGAGTGTGAAGGCCCAGTGAGTGGCCCATGAGAGTTTAGTTTTTTGTGGCTTTAAATCTTAGACATTGTGTCTCTCCAGGTATTAGTCTGGGGAATGTTGATCTTTGCCTCTTCAAATGCAAAGTTGCTTATAAGAATTCTCATAGCGATCAGGAAAAGGCCTGTGTGTGTGTGTGTGTGTGTGTGTGTGTGTGTGTTTTGCAGGGGATGGAACCCAGGGCATATCCTTCCTGCCCAGTAAAGAGAGGATTTTGTGAGCTAAGTGCAGTGCACAGGGAGGTGTAATAGTCCATAGTTCTAAATGCGCTTTGAAAACTAATAGGACACAGGTACAATAGTGAAGGCTTGTGCTATTTATCTGAATTTTTATAGGAATTTAATTATTGACTATCTTCTTCACCATATTCCTTTTCTGCAGAGATAGCTTACTGACAACAGTTTACAAAAATTCCTCATTTTATCATCAGTGACCTGGTGAGGCAGGAATTATGCAGATAAACATTTTGCAGAGAAACAAATAGGTGCTCAGAGAATATCTTACTCAAGGTCTCAAAGCCCAAGCCTGAGAAGCCTGGAGCTCCTGCTTACCTGCTCTTTCTGTCCAAGACAGAAGGTCCACCTTGTGAGACCGGTATCCAAACGGAGGGAATTTAAGTCCTGCTGTAAGAGCCCATCTTTGGGACTTTCTCGTGTTCTTGTTACCCAGCTGCTGCTACAATGACATATACCTAAGCTTACTTATAGAACCCAAGAAGGCTTGTTGATCTGGGCAAGGGAGGAGGAGATGCTCCTGATGAAATCTTCCCTCTTCTCTAACTGCCTCCTCAAGGCCTGTGGTGCACCCTTCAGCACACAAATTCCTTTGGGGCTGCTCTTGGGTCCTCAGGCCTGGCCTCTGGCTTGTGTAGAAAACTGGCTGTGGGGCCCTCCCTGACCACTGTACCTACCCTCAAGAAAGTCCAGTTCAGAATGAGATCAAGCCATCCCTGCTTTTTCACTCTGTCCCTGTCACCTGGCACAGGTTGGTCACAGAGCAGGTGACAGGGTGTTTGAGGATTTTTGAGCAGAAGACTGCTCCTACTGCCCTGTCACGCAGTCTCTGACACCTGAATCATCTTTTGGCCTAGAATGAGTAACCGGAGTCTCTGATGGGAGGGTGAGCACCTTGGCTCCGCTGGACAGCTGCCAGTTCTCTGCTCTGGTACCCTGTCAATTGTCCTTGTAGCTCCCCAAAGGAGAGGCAGAGACAGTAAGGGCCTCCTTCAGACTTCTGCTGATGTGGATTCCTAGTGAACACCCAGCCTCCCTGTCCAGTTTGTAGGTGGAAGATTCTTCCCATGGTTGGACGATAGGTACAAAAGGATGCACTCCACATCATAGGGCCAAGGGACAGCTCTTCTTATCACATGTTTGTATATATAGTCTCCTCCCTTGACTTTTTCCCTTCGGACTCATTAGTCCTAACCACTTTCCATGTGACACCATCTTCACAAAGGTCAGTGTTGACCATGTCCTTCTCCTCTTAAACCTTAATAGAGGCCAAGCTCTTCAGCCTGGCATATCAGTTTCTCTGGACCCCACACATTCCATTCTCCTAACTTCCCATGCCAGCCACATGTGACCTCCTGATCTTTCCCAGAAGGCAGCACTCACACCCCTTGAGTCTTGGCACTTGCTTCTCCTTCTGCCTTTAATGCCCTCCCACCTCTTTGTACACATAACAAACCTCTAATCCCAGTTCCTCTTGAAGCTCTCTAGCCACCTGCCCCAGGCTGGGTAGGAATTATTGTGGGCTCCATGGTCCTTAGGTTTCCCTTGATTGTAGCTTAATCACCCCCATAGACACGATTCGTGTCTGTGAAGCTGGACACAGAAGAGCGTTGGCAGATGTTTGTTCAGACTTTATAGCTTCTAGGAATGTGACTTATGACTGTGTTAATGCTAAGTGCAGACTCCTGAGACTCTGAGAACCCCAAACCAGAGGAAATCAGAAACTTGAGTGGCAGACAAAGGAAGTCAATGCTCATTCCCAAAACTTGAACGTCTTGGAGTCGGATGCTGAGAATCAATGAACTTGAAAGACTGAGAGGGAGATGCAGGAATGTCAGCTTTGCAGACGTGTCTTTGCTTTTGTCACATTTTCCATCTGGTTCCTCCCGGTGTGCTCTTGCTTCCAAATCCAAAGCCTTTGTGCTGCTCTCAAACTTAATGACAGCTTCTCTTCCAGGAGTCACCCTGACTGCTCAGACTGTGACATCTGCCCCTCTGCTGGGAACACTTGGGAGGGCCCCCTGCTGAGGATTGTAAGCTCCTGGAATTTAGCGTCTCTCCGTTGTGATGGGCACATGAGGCCAACACATCAGGACAATGTATGATTTGCTAATGCCATGGAGTGCCCACCTGCCCCTTTGCTCACTCATTCCTCATAGAGTGGTGATTCTCCTCCTTTGACCAGTGAAACACCCAGAGAAAGATTTGACTTTACCAAGACTGCATAGCCTCAGCGATTCTAAGATGTAACATAGACCCAGATTTTTTTTGCCTCTGGTCTGGCTGGAGACATTCCAGTGTGATAGGTTGGGGTGAAGACCAGGGCATAATGGTTCTGAGTGTTGAATTCAGTAGCTGTCTCTGTTGCCCTGTACAGAAGCTGGGCTGGGCTGGGGTGCAGTGGAGGGATGGTTTGAGTTCTACCTTGATTGAGTAAGGCAGGGGTTTCAGTTTCCTGGTCTGTAAACCTGGCTAATCTGAGACCTACTCACTCAGGTGCTCTGACTCCAGCCTCAGTGAGTAGCCCTTGATGCCAGGATCCTGGAGGCCCCAAAAGAGAAAGAACCTTGAGGAAAGGGGAAGAGAGTCTGAGGGTCTCCTGGAGAGGAAGCATCATGCCAGTGTCCAACAGCAGCTGAGGTGACATCTGAGGTCATGCGTGAGCTATTTCCCCAGACCAGCAGTCGAGCTCTTGGTAACAGCATTTCAGGCAAGGCTGGGGGACTTGACCTTCAGGATTTGTACAGTGTTTGAGTGAGTCCAGGCAGTGACTTCTGAGCTCCTAGTCCTAAACGTCCTAGCTGCTCTCCACTGCTCTCTGGCCACAGGGGTATCAGCTCATGTTGCCTTTCTTCTGGTTTTTGCTTGTTCTCCTCTTTTCTTTCCACTCACTTGACTCCCACTCATTTCCTAAAATACAAGTCAGCAACTCCACAAGGAGGGTAAACATTATATATTGCAAGCGTGTACGAATAAAAATAAATAAATAAAAAACATAAAGAAATATGTAAAATGACCAGACATAATAGTACATGAATATAGTCCCCACTATTGGGAGGCTGAAGCAACAAGATCACTTAGGCCGAAGAGTTTGAGATCAGCCTGGGCAATATAGCAACATCCCATCTCAGAAGAACACAAACAAAAACAGAAAAGAGTTATGAAAAACCCCCATAATGAAACTATAAAAATTTACTAAAATAGGAGAGAGGAGCCCTGTTCCTGAATGGAAAGGCCAAATTTTCTAAAAGGTGCAATGGTTTCTGCAGTCAACCAGTAAAAATAAATCACTTATCATCAAAATTTTAGTTTTCAAAAAAATTATATGAGCTTATTTTAAATGACATTTTAAAGGAAAATGATGAAGGCCAGGCAAAGTGGCACATGCCTGGGATCCCAGAATTCCTGGAGGTTGAGGCAGGAAGATCACCCAGAGTTCAAGGCCAGGCTGAGCTACATAGTGAGTTCAAAACCAGCTTGAACTACATAGCGCAAACTTGTCTCAAAAAGAAAGAAAGAAAGAAATGAGGAACAGCTCTTCCTAGTAGCTATCAGAATTCTAGAACTAAAGGCATTAAGTCAGCATGGTACCAGTGTAATAAAGACTAAAGGAGTTGGGGATATAGCTTAGTGGCACAGCACCTGCCTGACAAGTGCAAGGTCTTGAGTTTGATTCCTGGCACCAAAAAAAAAAAAAAAAAAAAAGTTTCCATTAAACTCCTTTTCAAGGGAAAAAACTCAAGATAGATATTCTGGACTTTTAAATAAATTCTGGTCCTGGTAAATATTATAATATCACATACTAAAATAAGACTAAAGGAGTTACAATGGGAAGGGGACCAAGAGACAGAGGAAGGAAAAGGAGGAGAAGAAGGGGAAGTAAAAGGAATAAGATGAGTTGTAAACATGCACCAACTCCCTGTGAAAACTGGACTCGCTGTGTACTGTAACTGTGTATTATAAAAAAAAATTCAACAAACAAACAAAAACGAAAATGTTGGCCAGATGTCCTGTCCTGTTAGAAGCCTTCCCTGGCTACCCACTCATTCCTGCTAGGGACTGCTATGGTGTCCTTCAGGCTGGCTCACCCTGAGGTATCACTGCTTTCTGGGTGTGCCTTCTCCACCTTGAGAGTGGCCTTCTTGGAATCAGGAAGGGTCTGACCTCAGAGTCCACCACCCTACCGCCCCTATGCACAGGGGCAAGCATAGATACAGTCACCTCGGGGAGGGTGGAGAGGGGTGCAGGGTGAAGGGCTTCTGGCCCCTAGTGGGAGCCTGTGGACTGCCTCGTCCCCGAGGGTGGCCCTCAGCATGAGAAATTTGATCTGTGTTCAGTCGCTATGGCCTTCGCCATAATTTCTGTGGGACTTCCTCTCCCTTCTTGTCTCCCTCCCCATATGCTCATCACTTACTAGTTCATAAAATAAGTCTAAATCGGGTTGCAGTATAGCTTAATTGCAGAGGGCTTGCCTTGCATGTAGAAGGGCCTGCATTTGATCCCCAGCATGGTAGGGAAAAAAAAAGGGTCAAAATCATCTCATATAACTATCTCAACAATCTTGTGGGACAGGTTCTACTAAGAAATTGAGATTTAGATTTTGGAACTCAGAGGCTTGTCCATTTCTTACGGCTGAGAATAGCAGAACTAGGATTTCTGTGTTTCCTCCCTGGCAGAGACAGCAGCAAGGGTCCCCAGGAGGGTGACAGAACACGCTCCCCTGCCAGGCTGGACAGGGCCACCAGGCAGCACATTCCAGAACCACTCCAGTGGAGGAGCTGGAATGTTGTTAAACTGCCCTGGAAATTCCTAAGCCAGCCTGGGAACTCCCCTGGCTCCTCCTCCTGGCTTTGGGTTTAATAGCCTGAGGCTACACAGAGAAAGACCCATATTGGTGGTTTTCATGCTAGGTTTGGTTCTGCCTTAGACTGTCTTGATCTTGGTGAGACCTGGAACTAACTACTCTTTTCTGGCCTTAGTTTTTCTACTTGTAAAGTGGGCATAACAACTATTCCCACCACTTAACATTGGGGAAGTACTAAGTAAGAAGAGTGAAGTCCAGGCCCTACCCGCAAGGTATTTTTCTGCTGGACACCTGAGCAGACAAGCATGTCAGGGCCCAGTTCCCTGCAGGGTAGGAGGTAGTGGTCAAGGGCACAGACAAGAGCTCTATGCTATTTGCTAGCTTTGGGACCCTGGAGAAGTTATTCTTTCTGAGTCTCAGGAATAAATGAGAAGAGGTATATGAAATACTGAACTCCTGTCATGATACAAGATGAAGGAAGTTACTAGACATGACAGCACATGCCTGTAATCCCAGCACTCTGAAGGCTGAAGCAGGAGGATCGCTGTGAATTTAAGGCCATTCTGGGCACTTAGTGCGTGCAAGGTCAGCCTGAAGTACATAGTGAGACCCTATTTAAAAATAAATAGATAAGTAACTATAATAAATAATAAATGAGAGAAACTGTTCCTGAGCAAGATAGGACCATGTGGCTGCTTGTGCTGTGCTGAGATGAAAACATGAAGATGGAAATGTGTTTCCTGGAGCAGTGACAGGGACCAAGTCAACTAGTCCCTTAAGTGCAACTAAGTCCCTTAAGAGAGCTTGGACTTCAGTCTGAGGACTCTAGGAAGCCATGAAAGGATTTGAGCTCCCCAGGGTGTGATCAGATTTAGATGTTAAGGAGCCACCTGACCACAGTGTGCAGGTCGGACAGGCGCACTGGGCAGAGGCAGAGCAGTGAGGCCACAGGGCCCGTGGTGTGGAGGAGTGCAGGCCTGCAGCTGGGCAACTTCACGAGAAGTTCTGCGGGGACTCTCTCGGTGAGTGATGAGCTTCCAAGGGTGGGGTGAAGGAGAGGGGCTACATCTTGGAAGGAAATGGGAAAAAAAGGGAGAGTGGACTTGAGTAAGTGGCGTCTCCCTGATCACCTGAAGAGATGAGACACTGGAGAGTGCCTGGGCGGAGGGGGTGAGAAGGTGGTGGCACTTTTCATCTTGTCACTGAACTCTAGAGCAGACAGACAGGTAGCAAGCAGGCTGCTGGCCCATGTCAGCCTGAGGCAGCGGGGCAAGGTGCAACAAGTAAACAGTGGCGAGAAGCCCTTCCTAGGCCCCTTCTGGCCGGTTCCTGCAGCTTCCACCCACTTGCCCTTGGGGACCCAGCCTCACTCAGCTGTCACAGGTACCATTCCTCTGTTCTGTGGAGATGAAAATGACAAAAGGTCATTCCAGAAGGGGATTTTTTTTCCCCCACGCTGTGCCTGAGGTCCTAGGGGGGTGGGACCTGCCATTACAAGGGTCCCTTTTCCAGTCAGCCATCCCCTCCCTGAAGCCCTGTGTGTGATGCACATGAGGGACTTGAAGGTGAGACAAAAGCCAGGGCCAGTAAAGAAGGCTTGGTTCTAATCCTGGCTCTATTCTGATGTTCCTGAGAGGACTTAGCCCTCAGTTTTCTCCTCTGTGAAGCAGGGATTGGTACGGATGATTTCCAAAGACTGTTTCAGACCAGACTATGTACACCAGTGATGATGAGCCCTTTTACAGCGTTCAGTGATACATACAAATGATCTGCTGCGGCCCTTGTGCCATAGGTTCACCACCATTGGTCTAGATGATGACAGTGTATGTGCTGCAAAAGAACCTGAGTATGCTTGGTGCGTGTGCCTGTGTGTGTCCAGGGTTCATGTGCATATGTTTAAACCACTGTAGCAGAATGCCAATACCCAGGGGTAGACATTGGGTGGGGGGATGTGGTTAGAGACCTAGCTTGGGCAGAGTTTCATCAGCAGAAGTACTATAGAGTATGTGCTGTACGTGAAGGATCCTCACAAGTTTTCCACTGTGGGGCTGTGGGACAGAACCAGAACTGTGGGAGGGAACACTGGAGACTGGCTCTACCCTGAAGGATGTGGGGGAGGTCTTCCCCTACAGAGCCTTCTCCTGTGAAGGAGGATGCCTGGGAGGGAGGTGGGAGCATATATATTGTCCCTAGAGCATATGAGCTAGGGGTAGACATCAGGGCAGGGATGCAGTTGTGCAGAGGGCACTCTGACCAGGACAAGCATGTAAGGTCACCTGCCTGCTCTTTTGGAGCCAAAAGAGAAGGCAGCCCTGGGATGGCTTGGCCTGGCTGACTTCCTGTACCCAGGAGCCACACAGGCCAGCATCTGTACTTTCCTGTGTTTGCAGGAGACCCCTTTGGCAGTTACCAGCCCTGAAAATGCTGGAGGCTGGGTGTGGCCCCAGGCCAGGGAACCTGTTTTTCCTGTTTTCCTGCAGAGCTTCTGTCCAGGGCGAGCATTCATGAGTGAGGAACCTGAGCCTGTTTTGAGCATCCCAACCCGGAGCACAGGGGCTGGTCAGGAAAAGGTGTGTGAGGTGGGGCGAGCTGGGAGGCTGGGCAGGTTAGGTCGGGTTAGCGTGGGGGAATTCTAAGGCAGTGCCTTTCCCTATTCTTTTATCCCACGCTGTAAGAAATTAGGACTTTAGAGCCAGATGGCACTGGGTGTCCCGTCTGTTTTGTCCAGTTCTTGGCAGTGTGACCTTGAACAAATGGCTTAATTGATGTCTAACAGTATTGATCAAAGGGTGAGTTGGTGGATGCCTGAAGCTGCTCAACCCAGACCTGGCATCTTCTGAACAGGAAGGATAGGAGAAGGGACCCTAGAATGGGGAACATGTGATCAAATAGGAGCCAGTGATGGGAAGACAAAAACATGTAGCTGGCCACGGACAGCCGACCCTCCTCTGGAATTTCCAATACTTGACTCCTTTGCCATGTCCTTGAGCCATCTGGGCTCCCTTAGCTGTTAAGGAAGAGATAGTCCAGGCATCTGTCTGGGTCTGGAGAAGGCCCCAGGCAAGGCGAGCTCCCAGGTGTAGGCTGACTCATGGCCATCTAGAGTCAACAGCCGACAAATCTCTAAGTAGCATTATCCTCCTGTAGACACTCTCCAGTGAAGGAGTGAAAGGAGAGGTACCTTCGACTCTGGGCTCCCACAGCTTCTTGTATTGGTTTCATTCCTTATTCATTCACTTCATCGATTGATTGATTCATTCATTCATTCATTCATTCATTTCTCTTTCCTGCCCTCCCTGCTGTAGGACAGGCCTCTTGCTGGGTAGATAGGGACAGAGAAAAGCATTTGATGAAGCCAGCCCTCAACTGGGGGGAAAGGACACCTTACCGACAAGACCAAAGCGAGGCTCCTATCTTCTTTTAGGCTAGGAGCTTTTGGAGTGGGGCCAATGAGCAGTGAGAGGAGCTAGTGGCCGAGTTGGGAAGAGTAGCCTCCAGGGTGAGATCCCCAGGCAGCTGGGGTCAGGAGAGGGTGAGGGGAGGCTTGAGGGAGAAGACAGAGGACTGGGTTGTTCCCTTAAAGCAGAGGCTGGGGTCTTAGGAAGATGACTCACAGGTTGGTGAACCAGTAAGTGAGGGGAAGGGAAGGCAGGCTCAGTCTGGACCAGGGCCACAGTGATGGAGTCCCCAGCTGGCTTAAGGGCTGGGTGGGGGGTCAGGATGTCTTAAAGCAGATCGACAGGGCAGTTCCCTCAGTCCGCAGTGAGGCAGGGAAGTTTCCACCCTCTTCTTAGCGTCAGAGATTCCACCTTCAGTGATCAGCAAGAAGCTATGCAAAGTCCATGGCTGGAAGATGAGGGCCCTGAACCTCCCCCCAGGAAAGCAGCCAGCTCAGCACGGTGGTGCAGTATGGGGGTGACAGTGGGTTCCTGTAAAGCATAAAGGAAGTACCCTCCCTGTCCTCACTGAGGCATAGTTTTCCCCTGAGGGGAGTTTGGTGGTGTGGAGGAGCAGGTATAGGATTGGCGGGGTGGAGGATTTTACTCATGAGAAACCTGAGACTCAGGAGGGTCTTCCCACCTGAACTCCTGATGTGATTTCCATTGTGCCTCCTGGGGATTTTGGAACACTTCTGTGCCCTTTAGGATACCAGCTTTGTCCCCTGCCTCCCAACTAAAAGAGTTCTTCCTGGTCACAACTGGGGTAAGAAGAGTAGGAAGGTGGCAACCTGCCCTCAAGCATTCACGGTCTGCTGGGTGGTCAAGGGCGACATATGCTCCCTAGGGACAGGGTAGGGGACCCTCAGGGTAGTGATAGTGTACATAGAAAAACTGGGTAAGTGGGGGAAGAATTTAAATTTGTCCCATAAAAAAGCTACCTCTACTCTCTCCTCATTTCCACTCCAGACTTTCCTAGAGTCTTCAGAAGGTCACTATCCCATCTGGTAACCTCACAGCCTGCAGGGACTGCTAAGTGCAGCTGTAGAAAGTGACAATATAGGAATACCTTAAATAAATAAATAAAAGAATGATGAAAGAGGAGACCCTTGGAAATTCTTCAGGCTCCCACACTTCAGCCCTCGAAAGCTAAAGGAAGACCATTGCAGTGCCTTCAGAAGGTCTGAGCTGCCCTGACTAGAATCACCTCACCAGGCAAGGGTACTAGTGTGTTGGGGAGACGGCCAGCCTTGAAGGCCCCTCCCCAGAAATCCAAAATTCTACCCCTCTGGGATGCCCCGATCCTCTGATTTCAGAGCTGAAAGCCTGGCTCTCAAATTCTCTGGTCCTGAGGTTCTAGAGCAAGATCAGCACTATATTTACAGGTCAGAGAGTTAATAATTCAGGACTCACAGGATTCACAGTTGCTCAAATTCTTAAACAGATGGGTATTGTGTTCCAGTAAAGCTTTACTTACAAAAATAGTCGGGTGGGATGGATTTGGCCCCTATTTTAAAGTTTTGGCTTCTAATTACAGATTATTTATCATTATGTATTATATGATTCTGACAAAATAGAATTATATATATATTATATGATTGTGCTAGTTATGCAATCTTGTTCCTTGGCTTGGAGATTCTGGGTCCAGGAACAGATGACAACAAAAGCGCAGGGTGTGGTTAGGAAAAATCTGTGGGCATTTCAGGGCCTTGATCAGGTGGGTGTTAGGTCTCTCTGCTGAGCCCTGGCCATGACCTCCTGGCTGTCCTTCCTGCCTCTTTCCCGCAGGGTGATGGCTGTGGACCCGGATTCCTGGAATGACACCATTAATGGTACCTGGGATGGGGATGAGCTGGGCTACAAATGCCGCTTCGATGAGGACTTCAAGTATGTGCTGCTGCCAGTGTCCTATGGTGTGGTGTGTGTGCTCGGGCTGTGTTTGAACGTCGTGGCACTCTACATCTTCCTGTGCCGCCTCAAGAGCTGGAATGCCTCCACCACGTACATGTTCCACCTGGCTGTGTCTGATGCACTGTATGCAGCCTCACTACCGCTGCTGGTTTATTACTATGCCCACGGTGACCACTGGCCCTTCAGCACGGTGCTCTGCAAGCTGGTGCGCTTCCTCTTCTACACCAACCTGTACTGCAGCATCCTCTTCCTCACCTGTATCAGCGTGCATCGGTGCCTGGGTGTCCTGCGCCCTCTGCGATCCCTGCACTGGGGCCGGGCCCGCTATGCCCGTCGGGTGGCAGTGGCCATTTGGGTGCTGGTGCTGGCCTGCCAGGCACCTGTGCTGTACTTTGTCACCACTAGTGTGCGTGGGGCCCGAATCACCTGCCATGACACATCAGCACCTGAGCTCTTCAGCCACTTCATGGCCTACAGCTCTGTCATGCTGGGCCTGCTCTTTGCAGTGCCCTTTGCCATTATCCTGGTCTGTTACGTGCTCATGGCCCGGCGGCTGCTCAAGCCAGCTTATGGGACCTCAGGAGGGCTGCCACGGGCCAAGCGCAAGTCAGTGCGCACGATTGCCCTGGTGTTGGCTGTTTTTGCCCTCTGCTTCCTGCCTTTCCATGTCACCCGCACCCTCTACTACTCCTTCCGTTCACTTGATCTCAGCTGTCACATTCTCAACGCCATCAATATGGCATACAAGATCACCCGGCCCCTCGCCAGCGCCAATAGTTGCCTTGACCCAGTGCTCTATTTCCTGGTTGGCCAGAAGCTTGTCCGCTTTGCCCGTGATGCCAAGTCATCACCAGACCCCACCCCTACCACCCCGGCTCGACGTAGGCTGGGCTTCCACAGGTCTGACAAAACTGGCTCCCAGAGGAGAGACTTGTCAGCCAGCAGCGAGAACTCTCATCGGACAGAGTCCACAGTGGCCAGAAGCGAGAACACTAAGGACATTCAGCTTTAGGACCTGAGACCCTTGGGCTTCTGCAAATTTATATGGAGGAGCTGTAGGGACCATGGCTCATTTAAATGGAACAGTGTTCCCAGATATGGACCATCAGTGACTTTGTCATCGGCAGAGGCTGAGGATACTCTACCCCTGTGATCCAGAAAGGCACCTGATCCCAGGTCCCCTGTTAGCATTTGTATGAGTGGGAAATAAGGTTTTGAAAAAGGAAAGTGTTCAGGACCTGTGCTACCTGACTCTCATGCAGCTATCTGGCTGTCACTACCACGGTACCACTGCTGTGATCCAGCCTAATCCAGACACAGAGAGGAAGCCATGAAGCAGAGCTGGAGTGAGGGATGGAGTCACAGGTTGACCAGAGCACCTTGGTAAGGTGTCAGGGCCGAATTCCCACAGGCATCTGGGATGGGACTGAGTGCCACAGTGGTCTCAGCTCAGAGAAGTACCCCCAGCCCAAGAGATAAACATCTGAGGCTGATGTCACACCCATCTGGAGGCTCCCCCTGGGTTGGGACCCAGTTTGAGACTGTAACTTATACTAAAGACTGTGCTGCTTGTTGAGCTGTGCTGTCTTGTATGGCCTAGGAAGCTTTCCATATCTACACAAGGGCCTCTCCACCACATTCTCTTCTGCCACCCACTAACTGCTTTAGGGGCATGTCACATTAGAAATCCCCTCTGCAGATGCTGGGTATATCCCACTTTAAAATCATTTGACTTCTGTACCTCTTTCTGTGTGAGGCAGAGAAGACTCAAGCGGGATCTCAGTTCTTCAGTTCCCCAGATTGGGTGACAACCAGTCATGTGCTGGTAAATGTTAAACTGGACCTTCAGAGGAGTTGAGGAACCCCTTATTTGTAGCATTGCCTATTGCCATTCCTGCCATGGCCAATTTCAAATTGTCAGTGCAATGTCATCTCTTTGCAAAATTCCTGAAAATTTAACATCTGGCTCTTGCAAGCAGGCACACGTTGAAGAGTGTACCACTGGGTCATGCTGAGTGCGTGGGGCTGTGGCCAGGGGCTTAGGGAAGCCTTCCTGGACTGGGTGCTTCTGAGCTGGGGCATCTCAGGAAAGCAGCTCATAAGAACACCCAGTGTAGGACACATTCTAAGCAAGGGTAGGGGACTGGGGAGCAGATATACAGAGACAACAGCAGCCTGGGCAGCTGCCCAGGCTCAGTACAGAGGTGAAGCTTCCTCCTTGCCCTGGCCCTGAGGCTTCCTTTGTATAAGATACATATGAGTGAGATTCACTCCTCTCTCTACCCAGGTCTAGGCCTAGGCCTTCTGGGAAAAATCTCACCTTTTGGGAATCATGGTTGGTATTCCAGCTGAATCAGGGGTTAATATGGGAGAAGTGGGCTTACCTGTGGCCAGTGTTGGACCTGGCCAGGACTGCTCTAGGCCAGTTTGTCACACTCTGGGACTGTGGACTCTGGGTAGGGCTAAGCCCTGGCCTTCAGACAGGGATTGGATGAAGCCGAGTGGCCTCATTTTTGACCTTCAGGACAGGAACTCCTCTCCCTCTGGGTGAGCCTTGCCCTGTGGGCCCACTACGCTTTAGAGAGGGTGTCTCCTTCCCTACCTTACCTCTTCCACCTGCCTCCTATGGCAGGTCTACCCTTCCCACTTACCTGTATCAAAGCCAGAAGATCCAACCCCAGGAGTAGCTCTGTTTATATATTGTGGTTGTTGCTTTGAAACAGAGTTTTGCTATATTACCCAGGCTAGCCTCAAATTCCTGGGCTCAAGTAAATCTCCTGCCTCAGCCTCCTGAGTCATTGGGACTACTAGGACATGGTAGCTTTATATAGAACTTGGTTCCACAACTCCCTCAGATGACAGGAACTCATCACACACCATAATGTAATGAAAAGACTGCATTATGTAATTCTGGGTGACCTGTCCAGAATAGTGTCAGATGCTCACCTCCCATGTTCTAGCTTCTATACTCTCTTGATGCAGCTAGAGTCCTTTTGTGCTTTCTTGACAGCCTCCTTTTCCAGGGTATCCTGAGTCTTTCCTGTAGACCCAAACCTATCTCTTTCCTACCAGTTGCTGCTCAGGGAGCTCCTTCCCAGGTGATAAACTCTGATGGCAAGAAGTGTAGAAGCTGGGCTCTGATGCTGTCAGCCCCAGCTGGGACCTGGAAACAGGGGGCTGTGTCATGACTTTGGGTCCTTTAGTATACATGTGTGGCTGGGGAGTGGGCTGTGGCCACCACAGGCCAAGTTCCTTAGTCCCCATTTCTTTGTTGTCCTGCCCCACTAGCCCTTCCACAGCTGCCCTACAGACCCTGAGAATCCAGTGCTGCAACAGCCTGGCCTCAGCCAGGAAGCTTTCCCTGATCCATTGCTTACAGGTTTCCAAGGACACAGGACCTAGGAGGCTTATTGCCACTTAGGCCTATGGCAGATATGGGTGGATGTGGGGAATGGAGATCCCAGGGGAGCCAGGAACAGGGCCCAAGCCCCCACCTCTGGACCCTGGTTGGACTGCCTGGCCCCTCAGTGTGGACATCTGGCCTTGGTGCTTAGTTCCCAGGCCACTCGCCTGAGGGTGAGGCTCCTGGCCTTGCTGCCTCGTGCTATTTTCAGCCCAAGTAAGATCAAGATTTTCCACTCCTGGCCCTAGACTATTGTCTGACGTGGATGACCTGCCTGTCCTCAAAATATCTTATGTTGCCCTCTGGACCTCCCTGCCCCCTTCCCACCTCCTCACCCTGACATCACTTCCTAAGGCTGTTGACTCCTGAAGGCCACTGTGAAAGGGCACCAGTCATCCAGCCAGCAGCCAGCAGCCACCAGTGACAGGACCCTAGGGATTACCCAGCCCAGCTGCAGACTCAAGGCCAGAGAGGGGCGGGGCCTCATCCAAGTCACTCAGCAGGTCTTTGAGGCGCCCGGATATGAGCCACAGGCCTAAGCTGCTCCTGCTGCCATTCACCCCCTCCAGTGCAGGTCAGAGCCTTTGCAGGGTTCTACTGTCCACCCCCTCACCCCCAGCCATGGAGCTGAGACCAGAGACATAGTGCAGGATGGGAGGAGGGTGAGGAGAGAGAGTGAGGTGGTGGTGAATAAAATTTTCTGACCTCTGCAAAAGCTGACTTCAGTGAGCTCCATGTATCAGAGCATGGCCCTGGCACATAGACTCCCTCCTGAGCAGCAGAGGTCCCCAAGACCAAGAAAGAGTGGAGAATCCTAAAGGCCACACATACAACCTCACCCTTGGAGGCCAAGAAAGGCCCTGGACAACATGTTGCCCACACAGAGCTGCTCCTGGGCAGGCCACCACAGCTATCCCTCAGCTACCCTTGTCATGAAGATTTGGCACCTGGGGAGATCAGGCACATGGGGGAGGGGACTCACATACTGGTCCATGTCCCATGAACCATATAGGACTGTTACATATTTAGTTGTTCTTCACACCCACCCTGAGAAGCAGATGTTATCCTCCCCATTTAGTGGCTGAGGACACAGGAGAGGGCATTGAGGAGTACAGGGTTAATGACCTAGGTGACACAAGCTGCAGGTGGGTGAGGGGAGAGGATTCTAGGCTCCCTGGTGTCTAATGAATTCCCTTTGCAGTGGTCCACACCATTCACAACCTCTACACAGCAAGAGGCTCTGCAAATGACCCTTCCCACAGCTCAGGACTGGCGCAGCGTTGTAGTAAGGACAGGTTGGGAATCATAGATCCTGCACTAAGACCACCTTGGTGTAAAGGTCATCTCCACTTTCCCAGCCATGCATTTTCTCAATCTTGCAGCACCTCAGTTTTCTCATTTGATAAGATGCTCTCCTTCCACTGAGGGCATTGGGAGGCTCACTTGGCTCAATGCACAGGAAATACTTGGTATAGTGCCTGGCATTTCCATGCCAATATTGTGCCAGGGCAAATCAGGGTAAGCCGGTAGGGGACTGTCCTCCCAAAGCTGACATAATTTTATGTCATCACATTGGGATAAATGCTTTGAAGAGGAGCCTAGTGTGCTTGGTCACCAAGCAACACAAGATCTAACAGCTCCAGATCTGGTTATGGGAGGGAGGGAAGTAGATCCACCCTGGGCAGGGTGGGGCCCATCTCTGGCCTACCTGGTACTGGGTGGTTTTTGGGCAAATGGACCTGTGCATTTCCAGAACCTTGTCCTGGTGCCCACCTGTAGGGCAGTGTGTGTGTGTGTGTGTGTGTGTGTGTGTGTGTGTGTGTGTGTGGCAATGAGGACCAGCCCCTATGGGGTTCAGAGCTCCCCCATTCTCAGTGGCAGGCTTAACCATTTCTCCCTTACTAGCAGTACCTGGCATGGCAGTCTGGAGCCACATGTTCAACCAGAGCTTGGAGATCTGGGATTGGAGAAATGGCCTGGGGCTGGGCCAGAGCAGGCAGCTTTGCTGGTGAACTGAGGCCTCTGCAGCCTGGAGGCCCCGCCTCCCTATTCCACTTCTCCCACACTTAATCAGGGCATCACTGTCTGTAGTTTCAAGGCATAACTAACAGTTTCTCCCTTAGGCTTTGCTAAGACCATTGAACTCTCAGTCCTAAGGGCTGGGGTAGGAGCAGAAGATCTCCCTTCAATCAAGGGATCAAAGAGGTGAAGTGACTCCATTACCACCATGCAGCATGCAGTGGATTGTCAGCCATGAGTGACTGGGCTACAGGAGGAGGGTATGACAGTAACATAGTACAGTTGGGACAACTCACCTGAACCTAGGGAACACCCCAGGGCCAACTTCCTCCTAAGGCCTGCTACTCAGAAGCAAAGATAAGAATAACAAAGATTCCAGAAACATTCCCAGATCCCAAACCAGGATGTGTGTGTGCCACACCTGCTGCCAGGATATAGTAACCTTTCTTCACTTGCAGCATATGGACTGCATCTCACGTTCCACCGTAGCAGTGCGTTATGGGAAAAGAGTGTACAGTAGACACAGTGGACATGACTTGGCACCCTATCAATCATGTTGTTAATCACACTCTGGAAGACCCGATGAAAGGTGCCCTAGACCTGGCGAAGCATTTTAAATTCTTAAACCCAATCCATTCAGTGCTTGGGCTGTATTTCTTTCTGCCTGAGTGAGCCTGCTTACTCTGAGCATACCTTTTCCTAATTAAACTTCATTAAACTTTGCTGCTTTTTCATTACCATTAGTGCCATATCTGATTCTTTGTCATGCATGAGAACCTAAAAACTCAGCCAAGATCCCATCACCCACAGTAACAATAGGGCAGAAATCGAGCCACACTTACATCTTGTTCTGCCCTGGATGCACCGTGGAACTTAGTTGAGCACTGCCTCTCTCTCTGGGCCTCAGCTGCCCATCCTTGATGATGCTCGGCTCTAGGTAGAGTTGAGCACTCTTCCCTTCAGCAGGGGCTTCCTGTGCTTCTCTCCATCTTGATTCCAGCTCAGGCAGGTGTCCTGCCTTGGCTGACCCAGCCAGGTACAGGGGATCAGGCAGGCAGAGCAGTCACTCATTGTCTTTGACCCTGTCTCCAGGGGGTCCACTTTCCACCTGGGACTATTTTTAGCCCTTGCAGACAAAGACATAAAACAAAAAACCAAGATTTTCCACTCCTGGCACAATGTCTGCCCTGGGCCATTGTCCAGCAATGACGTGGGGGATCCGCCTGCTCCAAAATAGCCCCTGTCCCTACCCCGTGGACTCCCCTGACTTATTCTCACCTCCCCACCCTGCTGTCATTTCCTGGGGCTAACTCCTGAAGGCTGCTATAAACAGCAGATGAGAACTCTAGCAAACACAACCCATTCAAATCAGTTTTCCCTTCTGGCAGAGACCCCAGGGATTGCCTGGCTAGTTAGTGGGACCGGAGTCCTGGAGAAGACTTTGCCTTGTCCAGGGTCACTCAGAAATCAAGGTAAAGGTCAGATCTGAGCCCAGGGCTCTCTAGATGCTCCTTCTACCTCAGCCATCCTTTATTTATTTACTTTTAATTTTGAGACGGTCTCACTATGCAGTTTAGGCTGATCTTGAACTTACTGTATAGCCCAGGCTAGCTCGAACTTCTAGCAATTCTCCTGCCTGAGTGCTGAGACTACAGCCTAGCTTCAGCCACCCTCCTTAGCACTAGTCTCTGTACCTTCTGGAATTGAGAGCAACCTCTTAGAAGGCTCAGGATTGGCATGCTGGGCAGAAGCCCGAGTGATGTGGGTGGTGGGTATTCCTCGGCTTCTGACCTTGAATAGCAAGCTCAGTGCAGGTGCCTGAACATTCACTCTCACTTACACCAGATGTGGCTATTAGAGAACTGAATGTTTTGTAGTCTTCCCAAAATTCATATTTAAATCTTTTCATTTTAATATTGGAGATTAAATCCAGGCCTGAGCTATAGCTTCAAATCCTTTTTTATTTTAAGAGGATCTTGCCAGGTTAGGGTTTGAACTTGCCATCCTCCTGTTTCAGGGTCCCAGAGTGCTGCGATTACAGGTGTGTGCTACCCTACCCAGCAGTATTTAGAATCTTTCCTTTTTTGTGGGGGAAGGGTTGCTTGGAGAAATGGTCTCACTGTGTAGTCCAGGCTGGCCTCAGCTTCCCTAGTGCTGAGATTACAGCCATGCACCACTGTGCAAGGCAGTTATTTGAAATACTAATTGCTACAGTGGTAGTATTAGGAAGTGAAGCCTTGGAAAGGTAATTAGGTCAGAAGAGTGGATCCCTCATGAATGGAATTAGTGCCTGTGTTAGTCAGCATTATGTTAGGCTAACGAAATGTCTGAGATAATAAAGTCATAAAGAAATAAATGTTTATTGTATTTTCTTTGAACCAGGAGTCAAATTCAGGACCCTGTTTTTGCCAGGCAGGTGCTGTGCTGCTGAACTATACCCCCAGCCCCAATTTATTGTATTTTGACTCACACTTTAAAAAACTTCAGTCTATTATAGTTGGCCTTGTTGCTTTGGGTCTCTGATAAGACTTAATGGTGGGACTGTATATCAGTACAAAACCACTTACCTCATGACAAGAAGCAAAAGGGAGAGGAAGAAAAAGGTTTGGGCCCCCTCCCCACCTCTCAATTGCACCACACTGGGAAGCAAGCATTTACCACATGAGCTTATGGGGGACACTTGGAACCAAACTGTAGTACTGCTTTAAGGAACCCCAGGGAGTTTTCTCACCTCTTTGCACCACACATCTTATAACGAGAAGCTGGGAAAAGTGCCCTCAGCAGAGCCCACGCACATGGACACCCTAATCTTGGACACCAAAAGCCACCAACTCAGTCTATGACATTTTGTTATAGCAGCCTGAAAGAAGACAGTGGCTATCGCCTGTGCTGTGCTTAGGGCTCAGGCACCAGCTGTGGGGTAGGGAGGAGGATGGAGGACACAGAGCTGCTGAGGCAGGGACAGGGTGACCCAGGTCCACCATCGCCACCCATGTGGCTTCAGACTCAGTTTCTTCCTCAGTCATATGGAACTGGTGCCTTCATCCCAGCCTGCTGGACAGTGGGAGCTGGCAAGACACAAACCTGAGGCTACTTTTTGTGTGCATCTCACCCGTGTGGCCTGCCAGGTAGGGTTCAGCTTCTCTCCTCCATTCCTATGCTTCGGTATTTGTCAAACTCCAATACTTAGAAGTATTTTTGAGTACAAAGTTCAGTGGAGTTTACAATTCCAGTGGCCACTTGGGTTAATGCTCACCCCCTTCCCCATGCTGGGAGACCCTCCCCATTCCTTCTCTGGGGCCCTTTCCCCTCTGGTGTTGGACAGGGTCAGGGCAGGGGAGGACTGGCCGATAATCCTTGGTACTGCCACTGCCCTCTCTTCCTGTCCTCCCTTCTCTGGCCTGTAGTGTTTCTTGGTGTGCAGCCCCTCAAATACCAGGCCTCCTTTATTAAAAAAAAAAAAAAAAAACTCTTCATTAAGCTACCGTCGTTATCCAATTTAAATATGCTACATCCTCCCTGCCTAAAGCCTAACTGATATCCCCAGTCTCCTGGAGCACCGTACCACCTTTGTTCCCTTCCCGCTCCCACACCAGGCCAACCTCAAAACTGCAAAAATGTCTCCAAATCCACGGAGTTCAGAGTGCAATGCAGAGAGAGTCAGGATGGAGGGCTGTAATGAACTCTGAGAAGGTACCCAACCCAATCTTTCAGATACCCTGTATGTCCTTAGTCAAATGCCAAAGCACAGCCACATGAATTGTTCCCTCATTGTGCAGATAGGGAAGCCTTTACAATAAAATCAATTGTGATATGGCTGGAGGAAATGAAAAGCCTGCTGCATGGGCTGACACAGGGTGTGCCAGCTGGGCGTGAGTATGTGTGCACCTGTGTATCTGTGTGTGTGCACACAGGGTGATCATATCAGTGTTCTAAGGAGAATGGTCAGGAGGAGGGGCCACCCTGGCGGGAACCAACTAAGTTCTTACTTTGAAAGCAAAGGGTGCAGCCAGCCTGGGAGCACTCAGAGGGACCTTGAGGGACTGCCAGAAAGTCAAACTAGGATCAAGAGATGGAAGAGGACAGGTTTGGGGATAGTGGGAAGAGACGCAGTAGTGCTGAAAGGATGTACCTGCCAGCTCTGTGAGGACCCTCCACCTTTATTCTGCCTTCTTTTCCCTCCCCAGTCACATTCTCCCCTTTACCTGTCCCCAGAATTTCTGGGAGCAAAGGAAGTCAGGCACCAGCAGTTCAGAGTTCCAGCTCCTCTAGTTCTTAGCGCTGGCCAGATGCCCTTTGTTAGCTGGGTCATGGCATGAAGGACCCAGGTTGACTGATGCTGTGCTGCTGCCCCCTGGTGACTAGAACTGGTGTCAGAGCCAGAAGGCGCAGGCTGGGTCCGGATGTTTGCAGGCCAAAGGGCAACAAGGCTGTGGAGGGGTAAAAGGTGAGGGCGGGGGTGGGAGTGTGGATCAAAACGGAAAACATCATGTGCCTACCGTGATTTGTCAGTATATGCTGACTTGAAAAACAGGCAGTGATGCCCTCCTGTTGTCTCCTGTGCTCCCTAGCTGGGATGGAGATCATTCTGTGCTGATCAACTCCTTCACCTGATGGTCCTCAGCCAATGGCAGCCAAAGAATCGGCTATCTAGGCTGTGTACCTTAACTTTCTGCACTGGCCCACTCCAGCCACTTCACCCACTCGAAGACCCTTGCTCTCAGCATAACCCAGAAGCTCTCGTCTTCTCACAGAGCAGCCTTCAAAGCTGTACTCCAACCCCTGGGAAGTGTGCCAGGACTGTGGTCTTCCCAGCCACCCTGTGATTGCATCAGGTGAAAGCTAGGGTTCATTCGTCAACAACCAGAAGCTTGCAATTTGCATCCCGCTGCATGTTAGTAGATAAAGTATGCCTGATTCACACGGAAGAGGAGGTCCTGGTGTGGGCCCCTAGGATTTAAGCCTACAAACCACAGGGTTAGGAGAGAAGTATCAGTCAGGTCTCCAGTTCCACACTCAACTCTTCCCTTGAGATCATATCTCTTGTGCTCAGTTTGGCAGCACATATACTAAACTTGTAACAATACAGAGAAGATGGCCCCTGCACAAAGATGACATGCAAACTCAGGAAGTGAAGTGTTCTATATTTTTTATCAATAGCATTCCTATATACAAATGACAAACTCACCACGAAAGAAATTCGGCAAACAAAACCTTTCACAATAGCAATGAAAAAAATGAAATAGATTCCTAAGAATCAGTCTAACCAAGAAAGTTAAAGATCTCTACACTGAAAACTACAGCATTCTGAAAAAAGGAGATCGAAGAGCTATCAGACAATGGAAGGATATCCCTTGCTCTTACTTGAGAAAACACCAACACAGTGATAATGGCCATACTTGCAAAATTGTTATACAGATTTAATCCAATTCCAAACAAAATACTGTTAGCATAGAACTAGTAAACTAGTAAAATCACAGAACTAGTAAAATCATTCCAAAAATTCATATGAAACCAGAAGAGATGTAGAATAGCAAAGGCAATTGTGGGCAACAAAGGCAAGCAGGAGCATCACAATCCCTGACTTGAAATTATACTACAAAGCTACTGTGACAAAAACAATGTGATAGTGGCGAAAAATAGACTTGAAGATCAGTGGAACAGATCAGAAGGTGCAGAAACCACTCCAGACATATTCAGACACCTCATCTTTGACAAAGGGACCAAACACCTTCACCGGAAGAAAGATAGCCAGCCTCTTTAGTGCATGCTGCTGGAAAAACTGGCTTTCCACATCTCAGAGATTAAAACTAGACTCAAGTCTCTCAGCATGCACTAAACTAGAAATAAAATGGATCAAAGATCTAAATATTAAAACAGAAACACTAAATCTGCAGAAAGAGAGACTAGGTAGAACTCTTGAAAACACTGGTGTAGGAAAAGACTTCCTGAACTAAATCCCAATTGCACAGGAACTATCACAAGGAATCAACAGCTGGGATCTCATCTTATCAAAGATTATGCACAGCAAAAGAAATCAACAGAGTGAAAATAAAACCCACAGAGTTAAAAAATTTTTAGTCAATTATCCCTCAAAGGACTAATAAAGAGTTGAAAAATATCAGCCCCCCCCCAATTTAAAGATCCAATCCAAAAATGGGCATCCAGGTAGACTTCTCAGATGAAGAAATACAAATGTCAAGTAAATACAGGAAAAAATTGTTCGACACTCAGCATCACTGGTCATTTGAGAAATGCAAGTTAAAACAACAGAGATTTCGTCTCACTCCAGAAAGAATGGCTGTTGTCAAGAAATCAAATGATAACAAATGCTGGTGGGGCTGTAAGGAAAAGGAACCCTTCTCCGCTCTTGGTAGGATTGTAGACTGGTGCAATCACTGTGGAAATCAGCGTGGATATTCCTTAAAAAACTAGGACTAGAGATCTCATTCGACCCAGCTATTCACATTCTTGGTATCTTCCTGAAAAGAATGAAAAGCATCACACTACAGCGATATATGCACATCTATTTTTATAGAACACAATTTGTAATAGCTAAATTTTGGAAACAATCCAAATGGTCATCAATTTATGAATGGATAAAAAATGTGTTTTTTAATATAGTGGAATACTACTCAGCCATGACAAAAAATACATGAGATATTTGGTAAATGGTGTACCTTGAGATCATATTCCTAAGTGAAATAAACCGGTCACACATCTGTTAATATCACATTGTTTCTCTAGTGTGAGAAACAAAGTATAAAGAAGAACCAAAATATATAATAGATATTGTGAAATAGGAAGAAATTGTTCAAGAGGAAAGGGGAACTAGGTAGGGAGAAGGAGGAAAGGAAAGAGAGGAAAAGAAAACAAAGAATGGAAACAAAGCTTTGTAAATAAGGGAAGAAGGGCTGAAGGGAGGGGATGGAAACATACACAGAAAAAATCAAGCGTATCATGTACAGGCACAAATTCCCTGTGACCAATGTGTTCCTTATGTATACCTAAATTATATCAATAGATGCAAAACAAACATGCTTCTTGTCCATGAGCTCTTACTCTAAAGCCAGATGCCTTTATGCATCAAGAATAGAAAACACCCAAGCTCTGGGATCACAGACTAGCTGTTTAATCCCTGCCTCTTCATCCATGCCACTTCTCTTTTCTTTGGATCAGTAGCATTTCTGTACCTCATAGATCAGGTGACCTTGGCACCTTAGTCACCTCTTCATACCCAAACGAATAACCCTTCCCTCTTCCCATTTTATTTTCACCATCTCACTCTTCCAGCTAGAATGAAAAATACAGCTCTCTAGTTCCAGAACACAGTAGTCACATAGTAGGTACATAACAATAAGTTGTGAATGGATAGTCTGTAGTGAGCAATAGATACACTATGTAAGTTCTTTGGCGAAATATCTAGAACCAATGTGTATTTGTTATATGTCAATTTATTTAGCTGCAAAGCAAATCAAGTTAATTATTTCATGTAAGTTTCACAATGGCCCTTTGCAACAGAAATCTTATTATTGGTTCATTCATTACTTACCAAATATTTTTAAAGTGTCTACTCTGTGCCAGGTAAGTTCTGTCTACTAGATAATAAATCATCAGTGGATGAAAAAGTCAAAGACAGGACCCTGTCTTAAAAAAAAAAAAGCTAAAGATTCTCTCCCCATGCTTACATTCTAATGGGAGAGAGCTAATTAGCAATAGACACAATGAAATATAAATTAATTAAAGGAAAAATGTAATTTATATAGTAAACTATAACTGGCATAGGGGGAAAACAGCAGAAAAGATAGAGAGGCTCCCATTTTAAACAGGCTGGCCAAGTGAAGCCTCGAGAGAGGGAGGCTTTAAGATGGTATTTGAGCAAATGTCTGAAAACAATGTGAGAGCCCCAAGAAAAGCCTTCCTGACAGAGAGGCCAGCAAGTGCAAAGTCGTTAAGCCCTGGTTGCCTGTGTAAGGAGACCTGTAATGGTGGAGGAGAAGCTGGGGAAAAGGAGATCAGAGGTTCGGGGATCTGCTTTGACACTGAGCCAGAGGGGAAATCATGGTGAAGTTCTGGGCAGAAGATCCAATCTGACTTCCCTTTCCAAAGGACCAGCAGGGCTGCTGCATAGAGAATAAACCACAATAGGGTGAGGTAAGAAGTAGGGAGAACAGGTAAGAGCTATTGCTGAAATGCAGGGGCGATATCAATCTGGGACTGAGAACAGGTGACAGCAGTGGAGGTAGGCAGCAGCAGACTGACCCGGGCGTGTTCGTTGAAGGAAGCCCCAGCAGGATTCCTGGTGGATCACATGGGGTTAGCGATAAAACAGAAGGAGAAGCAGAGGAGACCTACAAGTTTCTGCAGAGGACGAATTTGAGAACAGGAGTGGTCTAGGAGGGAGGAGGTGAAATGGGGCCAGCTGAAGCTAAGGCCCCCAGGTCTAGGGCAGTGTCTAGGAAAGGGCAGGGCAGAGTGAGTGAGGGGAAAGATTCTGTCCAGTGACAGTCACAAACCAGCCTCAGGGTATCTGGGTGTTGATTTGATCAATTTTCCCCCCTCTTCGCTGGAATTTTCTTATAATGGCCTTTTAATTGGGTCTATTTGGACAAAGACCGCTGACTGAGCTGAGCAGATGCCAGATTATTTGCTTATTATTAGATAGATTAGGAAATGACCTTCCATCTTTTTTTTTTTTTTTTTTTTTTTTTTTTTTTTTTTTGTCTTTTTCATTTTTATCGGTACCAGGGATCGAACTCACAACTGCCTGCTTTCAAGGCAGGCGCTTATGCTGCTGAGCTAAACCCCCAGCCCCATGACCTTCCATCTTGAGCTTCCATCTTGAGCTGCCAGAAGAATGAAAGCAACTGAACAGTTTCTCTGAAGAGTAATGCAGCGTTTGGTGCTTTGCTAATTACTGCTCAAACTGGAGCAGAATTTGTCACCAACCACATAATGAAGGTTTTATGGGTATGCAAAATGCAACAGTTGTCCAGTCAGAGAGGCTTCCATCCAGACTTTTTTTAAAAGCCTGGCAGGCCAGGTCATGTGCCCCTGAAAAGAGCAGTGCATGAAGCCTTGAGAGTGAGTCTAAAACCCCAGGAAGATGGAGGTGCCAAGGAGGTGGAAAACCTGCTGAGGAAAGCTAAAGGCAGTAAACAGAGCTACCCTAACAGACGGCCCACAAAGGCTGTAACTAACGAGGCTGTTAGGGTGGGGCTGCTAAAACCCTCAGGTGTGCACCCAGGTGCCAGACAGGAGCCTGTAGGATCTAACTTTACCTTGCTGGATTTCAGTCTTGCTTTAGTTTGATTTCCTTCTATGCCCCTATTCATTCTTTTTGGAATGGCATGCTTACCTTGGGGCATTGTAGGTTGAAAGTGTTTAACTTTCTTTTTGATTTTTACAGGTGCTCACGGGTAAGAGTTTGCCTCGTGTTTCAGAGGGGACTTTGGGCCTGAACTTCTCGGCAATGCTGGAACTATTAAGACTGTGATGGCTCTTGGAAATGGACTAAATGTATTTTATATAATGAGGTGGACTTGAGTCTTCTGGGGACCAACGTAGAATGTTATGATTTAGTGCTAAAATGTACCTGGAATTCTTATGTATTTGGGAAGAATTGTTTCACATGGGCATTACACTCATCAGTGGAGTCAGTAGTTACATGTGCTGCTGGGATGGGGGCCTGGTCGGAGGTGAGTCCCTGGGACTGTGAGGTGGAAGGGTGCATTCTCCTCCTCAGCTTCTACTGTCTGTCTCAGCTTCCTTGCTATCATGGGTTGAGCACTTTCCCTCTGCAATGCCACTCTTTCCTTCTGTTTCTATAATGGAACCAGCAGAACTGGACTGAAACTATGAACCAAAATAAACCAAAATAAATCTCTCCTCTTTTAAATTGTGAGTGTTGGGTATTTTGTCCTATTGATGAGAAAGTGACTAAGACTGTTGCTGTATTGCCCACACTGGGTTTAGATTTGCTATCCTCCTGCCTCGGCCTCCCAGAGGACTGGGATTATATGAATGCATTAACATGCCTGGATTTCTTTTACTTTCATGCAGGCTGATGGAGGCACCTGAGCTCTGACATCAGTACCATTACTTGTTTCTCTGGATCAGTCTTTCATGTATCTCACATATTCCTCTCCAAG